GCTTGCAGTATACAGATAACTGTGAATCACCAAATAAGGACCAGAGGCCAGATCATCAAGAGCCAGACAGCAAGGTACAGGAATGTAAGGCAGTGATAGAGTCAGGATACAAGTTAAATCCTGTTCAAAGCCGGGCAGTGAGGTATGGAATCAGGAGGCAGGACACAGAATCCAAAACACAGCTGAAGTCACAATGGGTAGACAGGAATCAAAAGTCAGGTAAAAGGCAAGCCGTATCATGCATGGGAAAGAAAATGTAGTAGGTCAGGAGACAGGTAAATCAGGGACTAGCTAAAGGTCACTCAGCAATCTGTTCAGGTCACAAACTAGCCTAAATAGGTCATTGGCGCCAACACCAGTACCGAGCATACACGTGTTCCCATGGACATGCTAATAGGTTTGTAATAAACATTTTACAGTGAGCCCTTGCATGGGATTATGATGAGCATGAGCAAGCAAAAGCCTTCTCATTCTAGTATGTACTGGACTTTTCATGCATCCTCCATTGAGAAAAGTTCTTTCATTGATTTCACTGCTTGTAGCCAGTTTGTAAATGGGGAGATTCAGATGAGTTACATCATTCTTGCTACCATTCACAGGTTGTGCTACAGGTAGTGAATGCATTGAAAGAACTTTTTTCAAATGAGAGATGAGGATGTAGGTCGTCATCAGGAACATTTTAACAGGACCGTCACAGAAAATCTATTGACCTCCCACAGCACCGCAACTGCAGCAAGAAAAGGACTGGGCAGCCATGCTGTGAACATTTGTGCAGTAATCAGCTGCCTGCTTGATATCAGACATCCCGTCATTACAGAGAAGTTAGCTCAGTAAAGTAATGTAGAATTTTTTTAGAATCTTTAATACGGATATTTACAGCAAAATTTCACTTTCCAGTATTGATTATAGTGTGAAACTCCTGTGCTGCTACTTACTATATATATATATAATATATATATATATATATATATATATATATATTATATATATATATAAAAATTTTATACACAATCACCAGTAACCGGCTAACACTAATATGTTCTTCGCACATTGAAAATAAATAATAAAGTATAACCGTACAGCACTACTCTCATTTAAACAAAATACATCATAAAAAATGTGTTGTGCAAAAACAAACAAATTAAAGTTCAATATTGTAATGCAAAGAAAGTGAATTGAAGTTCTGCGACACCTGCGGTTAATTAATGCCCCGTACACACGATGAGACTATCGGACAAACGATTGGCCATTTTTGTTCGCCTGCTAGTCTCATATCGAAAGTGAAAAGGTTACTAAAGATATGAAAATTCTCCTATGAAAGAAAATAAATTTTGAAAGTGATGGCATGTATTGCGTTGTATTTGTATTGCATTTTCAGACGACAAATGTACTGATTAAATGAAAATTGTACGATCTGGTATCGTACGAGAAAAATGTTTGCGCTTGTCCCTTCGGATAGTGTCGTGATCGGCTCTCAAAAGCTGTGTACTAACAATCCGATTGTCGGACGATTGGTCCTCGTACGAAAATTTTCGTATTATTTTCCTATAGTGTGTACAGGGCATTAGTGTATTGTTTGGACAGCACAGTTCAATTATAATGATGTATATTGACACAGAGGATTAAACTTTCTTTGGAGTACACTATTGAAATTTTCATTTTCTTATGATTTTACACAACACATTTTATATATGATGTATTGTGTTTAAATGTGCACTGTTCTACTTTACTATTGACTTTCCAGTTCTTTCCCCCTACAATTCAAATAAACCCTTTTGAGTGTTGGACTTTTTCCGATTTTTTTTTTTTTTTTGGTTCCTTTATCTTTTTTTCTCATTTATAGTCCAGCCAGCCCCCTGCCTCTATTTTGCCTAGGCAAGAATGACATATAATCCCTCTCCTATGTCACATATCTCAGAAGGCATCAGCTTACAAAGCTGCACTGGAGGATGGATGGATCCACCAGATCCAGGTCATCAGGGAGCTGGCTGTAAGAAAGCAGGAAGGTATAGCCAGTTCCCGTTAATATAAGGAAGGTGGTGATGTGGACCAGGTTACCGCCTGTCAAACGCCCTCTGAAGAGTGACCGATGGGAAGAAAGGGATAACTTTCTTTATTCAAATGAATGTGACTCGGTAATGTTGATAACTGTTCTACTGACTGGGAACATGACTTTTCACCATAGTGTAATAAATATGGATTGTTGGAACCCAATCAGTTTATACTGGAAGCTGTAGAGTCTTGCCAAATCAATGAATATTATGACATTATTGCAGTGGGTGAAGTCTGTCAACATTAATTGATGCTTTGTTACGTGTCATCTATCAGTAGCTACCAGTTGTCTGATACTGATAACAAACCAGGGCTAGCTAGGTTACTGTAGGATAAATACGACTTTGCCAATGAAAACATCAGATATTCTATAAAGAGTCTGAAAAAAAGCAAACTTCCACTAAGGGTTAGTGAACACTAGTGTTAGTTCTCTGAAGAGTGGTGTGTGGTGGATTGGTCTTCAGAGGACATTTTTAGAAAAAAAAAGAAAAAAAAAAAAAATAAGCAAAGGCAGCCTGCATAGTTCTTTATAATACAAATAGAGTTTAATCTTAAGTGCAAAAAAAAAAAAAAAAAAGCTTCTGTGTGGGGGAATGGAACAAAATTACAATTATAGCTAGTAAATTAAGAGAAGGAAAAAAAAAAAAAAAACCACACACACAACAACAGGAAGACCAGTTTAAACAATTAAAGATATATCACTTTCTTGGATGTAAAAAAAAAAAAAAAAAAAAAGCTTCTGTGTGGGGGAATGGAACAAAATTACAATTATAGCTAGTAAATTAAAATTAAGAGAGAGAAAAAAAAACACAAAATGAAGACCATTTTAATCAAACCATTAATCACTTTCTTGGATGTAAAAAAAAAAAAAAAAAAAAAAAAAAAAAAAAAAAAAAAGCATACCTGCTGTACACATTCTAAAAAAAAAAAACAGTCTGTATTACCCACTAACCATTGTTTGACTGGCTGTTATTAGTGATGCATCTTCCACCAGTGAAGTATAAGATTCAATCAACTGGCATGAGGGCTACTCTGCCAAAACCCTGCATGTAGCATCTTCCAGAATAAGCATCAGACCAGCGTCAGTAGTATTTGGTTAGTTGAGCATGCATTCTTATGCAAGGATTTTAAACAACGTGTCCTCTGTTTACTCGGCGATACAAAAAATAAATTACTTGGGGTTCTCAACTGATTGACACCTATACATTTTCCCCTTTTCCACTGAAATAATGTAAAAGGTGGCCATAAACAAACTTAGCCAGCTCAACAGGGACTGGTGAATTTTCAATCCATTTGTGGTCATTTCTGTGCAGCAGAAGTCATCCATTAAATAGAATGAACAACTTGGAAAACTTTTTTCGATCGACAGCTAGGGTTGCCACCTCATCCATTTAAAACCAAACACATTATTTACACAGGTTCTGAGGCCAATTTAATACAGATAAGGCTCTGGGTGAGTTTAATTACCACCTTAATCAGCCACAGAACCTGTGTAATTAATATGTGTTCGGTTTTAAAGGGATGAGGTGGCAATGGAATAAAGTAGCTCCTGCATAATTACCCTTCATCCTTTTACTTACTGAAAAAGTGAATAATTTTCCAGGAAGTTCAGAGATTTTCCAAAAAAAAAAATGTAAACATTTTATGATAGGAATGCACATCAGTTCTTTAAGCTAGCTAACACCATGTACAATAGAAGAGCAGCCATCTCCCTGGGAAATATGCTGGTAACTGTGTCATATTTTGTTGCAAGCTATGCATAGAAATAATAATTTTTTCCCCCCTATGTGCAGGAAATTTGTAAACTGAAGCACTGTTGACAACAAAGCATTCATTAAAAAAAAACTATGTATCAGACAGACCTAAACATGATCAGTAATTACCATTTTGTTCTGTATAGGTTTGGTCCTTGGTCTGATGACCTTTCCTGTTCCGTACTGTGGTGTCTGATGAGTCCTCAGGAGCTGCCATAGTGCTTTACTGCAAAGATGTTAAACACACTTTCATAGTTACAAAGTAGAAGAGGTCCTCTGAGCTCCCTTCACTCAGTGAAAGGCTTTCAAGCCTTTCCCTGTGATCAATCGCCTTCTCCCCTTCCCCCAAACAGCTAAGAGTTCTGCTGTCAACTCAATTATCCAATAACCTTTGGAATTAAAGAGAACTTTGAGCCATCCATACAAATTATCTGATTGCAAGAAAAACTAGCACTTACAGGGTATGTGTCATCCTGACCTTCCAATCCATATCTAATCGGATTACTTAACTTATAGATATTTCACTTTCTACCTTGTAACCAGGTAGAGATAACATTTGACCTCATTCAGTTTGCTCAACAATAGTTTAAGAATTGCTGATTACCCAGTTATATTTGGATATTCATTTGACAACAGGACAATAAAACTGGCAAACAGCCAACAAATGCAAAATTGAAGAATCCTCCTCTGACCTTTTGCAGTGTGGCCTGACCTGCCTTTTCCTATAGTCTATAATGAATGGCCCTATTTAAGGACAGCAGATTGAATTAGACATGGTCTTTGCACACAAACAGATTTAATCAGAGTTGGTTGTGTCAGTCTCAGGGATGGGGTAGGTGTATAACTGGCTTGAAAACGGCATCAAATTATTACAATCTATAAATAAAACAGGCTGCATATTAGGGGAGGGGGGCATGGATGGACAGATCTCTTACTAAGCATGGGTGAGATTTAGAAAAAGTATTGCAAGTGATGAGTAAACCTGTATGCAGTCATCAACATATATATATACAGGGGCGGACTGACAACTCATGGGGCCCCCGGGCAATAGGGGATCATGGGGCCCCTGTGTCCTTGCCCAAACTCAAAAAAGCCTATGAAAAAGGTACCAGGGGCATCTCATGGGGCCCCATACTGACCCCGGGACCTTGGGCAGTGCCCGAGTTTCCAAATGGTCAGTCCGCCCCTGTATATATATATAGTTATACATACCATTGAGCTAGCTGATGTCATCCCAATTTTGCACACAGAGAATGACCTGTTCTTACGTTTTAGTTCTTGTTTTGATTTACATCTCCCACAACGTAACATACCAACATGATGTCACACTAATGTTACATAGTTAGTCTGGCTGAAAATAGACAAAAGTCCATCCAGTTCAACCAAACAACATTAAACCTCATTTGCCACATAGTTGCCCAATTAAAGAGTGCATTGAGGTCGGCTTGTAAATTGAAGACATCCTGTAAGGACGTTATTCCACTGCACAGCTTGGTGTCATCTGCAAAGACTGAAATTAGATCTTCAATCTCAGACCCTATATCGTTTATAAATATATTAAAAAAGTAAGGGTCCCAACACTGACATTGGGGTACACTACTGACAACCCTAGACCATGCAGAGTATGAATCATTAACCACTACTCTCTGAATACGATCTTTTAGCCAATTTTCTATCCATTTACATAGTGTGTATGACAGGCAGACAAGAAACACCATTTGCTGAAACTAGCCATAGACATGAGATGAGCATTGACCATCCGGCCAGTCTTTTGTTGGATAATGTTACCACTTACAGTATGTATGAGGTATCAACCACTAGCAGGGGGGAGAGCTCAGTTGGTAAAACAGTTGAACTGTTCCTCCATTGTTGCTGTAGACAAGGGGTGCTCAACCTGTGGCCCTCTGATGTGGCCTTCAACCTCAAACCAAGGAAACGCTCGGGGTCAGCAACCTGTTAATTGTGATCTGGGCTTACCGCCCCGCCATCCCAGAGCAGCCAAGTGCAAGGCCAGCAGCAGAAGAAGCAGGCAGCCACAGAAGGAGAAGGAGCCACATAAGCTGATGTTTCCTCTGTAGCTCCGGCTCTTGTCCCAAGCGGAGTGATACCAAGTGCACTTCGCCTGAGACTCTTCTAGCAGCCTGGAGAGAGACAGCAATGTAACACATACACTGCTCTTTTGCAATGGGCATATTAGCACCTATAATAAGGGTAACAACTATTGGGCTGCTTTCACTTTGATCTGCAGGTGCAGCGCAGATCACCTGTGGCTTTCCTGCAGGTTAGCTGCACTGAGCCATAGACTTCTATTATATCCTGGGGATTTAGTGCACTTTCTGAAAATGGGAGTTTTGGTGCACATCAGTGTGAAAGCAGACTTATAAGAGGCTCAGGACAGTAAGAGCTTGTTTACATTTGCAGTTTGGGGGTGGTAAAACCCCATAGTTGAGACATGTTTTTACCACACCCCTCCAATCACTGGTATAGCATCAGAGGTCTCGATGGCAACCCCATCCCATGCTCCAGGAGGCCCATGTGGCCACTCTGTCACATTCTGTTTTACAATTGGACAGGAGGAGTGGAACCAATCCTTTCCATTTTCCTCTTGAAACCACTGAAATCCATCTTCTACTCTTCTCCCACCTGTCAGCATTTAGCGACTGCAGGAGGAAAATGTTCATTATGCTATTCAAAATGTTCATTATGCTATTCAGAGCAGTGATGGGAAAACAGCATTAAAGATGGCCGCTGGCCTAACATGCGGCCTCGGCGGCGTGATGTCAATGCGATAAGGCTCCTCTCTGATGCGTTTCATGCACGTTGTCAAAGGGATAGCCTTGCCGCCACCGCCGTCGCTCGCTATATATAGCCCCATACGCATGAGTGAAACGGGCGCCATTTTAAAGAAGACCGACAAGTCAGCCGAACTAGTACAGGGACCAAGGCTGATTACTCGGTCATAATACCAAGTGGAATTATCCAAACTTTACTACAAAAAGCCAAATGAATATGGGGCATAAATAATTGCTATAAGATGGATTTTAAAAATGATTTGAGGCCAAACGCGTCAGGGAGGAGCCTTGCCGTGCTGACGTCACGTCGCTGAGGCCGCATGTTAGGCTGGCGGCCATCTTTAATGCTGTTTTCCCATCACTGCTCTGTAAGCTTACATTTTCCTATTGCATACCTGGAATTCTTTGCCAACATTCATTAAAATACTACACTATCAAAGTACCTTTGTTTGGTGGCTTGTTCTTGAGCCACTTAAGGTGGAGTAGTATAGTACCAGTTTGGCAAGCTATTCTCCTGGTGAAGACGCATAGAAGGAGCTGTCCCTGTATGCTGTGAGGGTCCGGTTTGTGAGGTCTAGAGTGCCTTTCCTGTGTGCTGTGTGTGTACCAGTGGAGCCCCCTGTCCCTGACCAGAACCCTGATGACCACCAGTGTTTCCCAGATGTTATTACATGCGCATTAATATTGCGCTTCTGGTGAGTGTAAGCACACTTCAATTGTATATCACAAGAAGTCACGAGCACGGAAGTTTGATGCATCATTTTTATTGGACTACCTATTTTTAAAGATATCTCCGATTGTCATCTAATTATTTGCAATATATTTCCTATTGTCATTAATTGATCACTATTGTATACAGTTCACCAATGTATATATTTGCCACTTGATACACTTTATTGATTATCCATTCACGTTTTCTCTCGTCACTCATTCGACGACACTTATGTTACACTTACCTAGCGCATCCATTTGCGCCTTTTTATGCACTTGTCACTTTCTCATAATTTTTAATATTTAGTGCTGCATTTTATGTTTCAAGTAGAACTAAAGCAATAGAGTAGATGCTGAGGGGACTCAGAAGACTCTCTGCAACTCAGAAAAAAATACAACCATTTGTCTGCAGTGTCAGACTATCAAACTGACTAGCAATTCTACATGTAAAGGAAAGGATTCTGTTGTTTGTATTTCTTTTTATACTGTATAATGTAATAATTAGATTGCATTTCATTCTGTTCAAAATGGAACAATATATGCATTACTCACTATTGTATAAGTGCTGCAAATATATTAGACTATTGTCAATATGTCTGCAGCACATCATTACTAAGACTGGTCCTGATGTTGCTTTTATGTGATTTTAGGTCTGTTTCTGTATTATCTCATACTGAGGTGATGGTGAACCAAGGTATTTACCTTACTTGTCCACATGTTTATTGTGTAATAAAGCATATTTTTTGGAATTACTTCTAGTATCGCATTCTGTCCATAATGTAACCACTTTCTGTGAATCTCTTTTCACATTCCTCCTTTTTTGATGCATGTTTTTTGGTTACTGGGCAGATAAATTACGTCTAGTGGTGCATTATATCTATGGGCCTCTGATTTTTTTCCTTATTTTACCAGTATGGGTAGCCATTATTCCATGGGAGGGTCCATGTGGCTTTGGCAGCACACAGATGCAAAGAACACACTGTGCAAAACTGTAGCTGCTTACATTTAATAAACAAACACCTGTCCAAATATCCAGCACTGTCCTCACCTGGACTGATTCTTCACTGGTCTTCGGTTCCCTAGTGCCAGTTTCTTAAATGTAGCAGTGCCAGCTGCCCACTGCACTGAGCTTTGTGAATGGTCCCGCAGTCTTCTGGGACTTGTGACATGTCCCAAAAGGTGGCAGGCAAGGGGGCGGATAGGAGAATTTCTGTTCTTATCACCCACTGGACGATAATCCAAATGTGGCAGAGGAGCCAGGGAGGAGAAAGAATAGCTGAACTTTCCCTTTTGGGTGAAGTTCCACTTTAGCAAAAAGTGTTTCTATTTAACTATTTACATTAGTTATACTAATAAAACTAATTTGTTTTTTTACTTTTTAAAGGAACTACACTACATCTAAGCCAGGGTTAGACAAATCCCAGGCACCAGGTTGCCATGGCCAGTGGTGTATTAAGGTTTCGTGCTGCCCAAGGCAACACAAAAATGTCTCCCCCACACACACACGGAGATAACCTGACACCGACCAACACCCCCCCCCCCTTCCCCATGAAGAGAGGCTGACATTGACCAGCAACACCCCAGCCCCCCAACCCCACCCGAGAGAGCCTTCCACTACCACTGCCCCCCAACCCCACCCGAGAGAGCCTTCCACTACCACTGCCCCCCAACCCCACCCGAGAGAGCCTTCCACTACCACTGCCCCCCAACCCCACCCGAGAGAGCCTTCCACTACCACTGCCCCCCAACCCCACCTGAGAGAGCCTTCCACTACCACTGCCCCCCAACCCCACCCAAAAGAGCCTTCCACTACCACTGCCCCCCAACCCCACCCGAGAGAGCCTTCCACTACCACTGCCCCCCAACCCCACCCGAGAGAGCCTTCCACTACCACTGCCCCCCAACCCCACCCGAGGGAGCCTTCCACTACCACTGCCCTCCCATACACTGGCAACCCCCTCCCACCCTGGCGAGAGAGAAGATACTCACCTTCACAGCTCCGGACATCCCCAGGAACAAGAATCAGGCTCTGCATACACCAGCAAGCAGCCCACAGCCTCTCTCAGATCCCACCTGGTCCCCATGCTGCATGTCTCCCTTCTTCCATCCCTTCTTTTTTGGGGGGCTGCACTGCCCCCCTGAAATATGCCACCCTAGGCCTAGTGTTTGCCTTGTGGTAAATACGCCCCTGGCCATGGCACCAGAAACTGCGCGTCCCGGCACCTGGGCTTCTGCTAGCCCACGCACCCACCGCTGGCTGCCCACATGTGTGTGACATAGAGCTGAAATCTCCAGCTAGTGTCATACTCTCCTCTCACCAGCATGAGCGCTGCTGTCCGAGATAACGGCAGTGGGAGTCGGGCACCGTAAGTCCATCACGAAAGTTTGCACTGTTCCCTGCTCTGTTTTCAAGTGGGTGCTCAGCTAATCAGCCTACGCCGCTGTGTTGCTGCTCTGGAGATGGTGTGGATCATGAGCACAGATGGAGCAGACATGTACAGGAAATGTCCAGGTTCTGGATAGGGGATAAATAAAGGAAAATTCCACATAGAAGTCTGTGTAGCTGTGCTGGGGGATAACAAGTCTCAGCGTGTCTTCCCAGATAGAGGTCTCTGGTACTTGTAATGTAACTGGAGCTGATAGGCCGTAGAGGTCTCTGCTTACTACTGGACCCTTTCTAGTCCTGAGGCTTGCACCTAGTATGGCTATTGTAAACTCCCCATGTACAGTTATCTTGGGTACATTAGAATCGAGTGTGATACACAGTGTTTTCTATACATATTCTTTGGTAGTGTAATAAAATTCATTTATGTCAGGGCTTGTTTACACTGCAATCT